TTTTTTTTTTAAAGATTTTATTTATTCATTCATGAGAGACAGAGGGAGAGAGAGAGAGAGAGAGAGAAGCAGAGGGAGAAGCAGGCTCCCAAGGAGCAGGGGGCCCGATGCGGGACTCGATCCCAGGACCCTGGGTTGATGACCGGAGCCGAAGGCAGACGCTTAACCATCTGAGCCACCCAGGCGCCCTACCTATTGAAGTTTTAATTCTGGTTTATTTATTATAATCCTATATTATATAGCAGTAATTATTATTACAGCTACTACTACTAGATATTCTGTTTTGTTATTTTACCAATCTGTCAGGTCACTTTTTAAAAAAATATTCTCTGGAAGGGGTGCCTGGGTGGCTCAGTCGGTTGAGCATCTGACTCTTGATTTGGGCTCAGGCCGTGATCTCAGGGTGGTAAGATCGAGCCCCACATTGGGCTCCACACTCAGCGGGGTGTCTGCTTGAGATTCTCACTTTCCCTCTCCCCCTGATTGCTCTCTCTCTCTCTCTCAAATAAATGAAATCTTAAAAAAAATATTCTGTGGCAGATTCTCTCAGACTTTCATTTGTTTCTTTACACATGGTAAACTTATTTGTTGCTTTGTAGTTTCTGTTGGGACTGTCAGTGCTTTCAGTTATTTTTCCTAGTTCTTGCTCCTGCTACCTCATTTCTATGTGAGCAACATTTTCTTACTTTATGCTGTTCATTGCCCTTGAAAGTGATTCATAGGAACTCTTTGAAGCCAAGGATGAAATTGCCTTCCTCCAGAAGGGATTTGCATTTGATTTTGCCAGTCCCCTAGAGACTCCTCTAGCTTGGGACCTCCTTAAACCAGGTGTAAGATTAACACAAGAACTCACGCCACCTACTCACTTCCCTTCGCCCTTTCACAGGCTTACATTTTTTTAAACAGGGACTTTTTTTGTTTTTAATCATCACACGTGGTTAGCATAGTCCTCAGCACATGATGAATAATTGGATTTGGGATGAATGAAGAAACCTTTAAATGACCATCCCTACCTTGTTAACTTATTTTCTCTGTCCTTATTTTCAGTTGGTCAGTTAAAAGGATTACTATTTTGAATATCATTTCCAGGCCTTTCTTCAAGGCATTGTTACGTCTTCTCTCCATAAATTCCCCAAGTTCTGTGCAGCACAGGAAGTGGTTACTTGGTCAGTATTGCTTCTGGCCCAGGACTTGCCATACTCCCCATGCTTCTGCCCATGAGTGGCTCAAACCACACATTTCTGGGACCCTCGCACCTTCCGTGGATATTTTGAGTACAGCTTACGGTACCCAGTGGCTCCGTAATTAGTGGATCTACCTCTGATACCTTTTCTCTTTAGTACACCTGACCTCACTTGCCAGACTTCTCTCTATAGCTAGCCTCCGATTCCCCTCACTCACAGACCAAGACCACCGTGGCTATCAGCTCCGCCTGTGGAATAAAGTCCAAGCCTATTAGCTTGTCATTTTGCCTTTGTTAGCTAGGTGAGGTAGCCACTTGTCATTAAAGAAGGTGATCTCTGGGAAGTCAAACTCCAGCTCCACCGCTCACCAGCCACATAAGCTAAACTTCTGTGCTTATTGTGCCGATGTGTAAAATAATGCTAGTCTGGCAAAGGATAACGTATGTAAAGCTCCTGGTGTCCATCAGAATAAGAATAGCCCTCCAAGACATTTCTTTTTAGCAGGGTCTGAAAGGAATAGCAACTTATTCTTTCACTGCTTGTACATACATGGATACTCAAAAAGTGGAAGATCCCTTACCCAGTTTCTTCCTCTGGACCTTAGTTGTCTTATAAATATAGTGGTGCCTTGGGGCGCCTGGGTGGCTCAGTCGTTAAGTGTCTGCCTTCGGCTCAGGTCGTGATCCCAGGGTCCTGGGGCTCCCAGGGGCTCAGGTCACATCGGGCTCCCGCCTGCTTCTCCCTCTCCAACTCCCCCTGCTTGTGTGCCCTCTCTCGCTATGTCTCTCTCTGTCAAATAAATAAATAAAATCTTTAAAAAAAAATATGGTGGTGCCTTGAATAGTTATTTGCAGCTTAAGTGTGGGAAGATATGTAAAGCCCCTGGTTCCATTCATCATTAGGTGTATAATAAATGTTTGTTCTTTATTCCCCTTCAAACCAAGGTCCAACTTTTCTTTCTTATGGGACTGCAATGCGATTTGTAAATAAGAGTACATTATATAAAAGAAGGACTGTTGTTCCTATCTCTGCATTTAAAGTCCTGTCTACCTTTTAAGGCCAAGTTCAAATGACACCCACTTCATGAAGCATCTCTGGATTCTCACTTCCACCACGCTCATCTCCTACTCCATCTGGAAGAATAATTATACAACCAAAGGGGAACCTTCAAACCATCTCAGCTGATACTTGAATTTCCTGTATATAATAAGTACAAGTCAATAATGTACAAAGCTAAGCAGTGTTCTAGCTTCTACTAAACAGTTTTAGAGATAAAAAAAATTAAGTGTCTTCAAAACAGATCTATTTACTCCAGCTTTGGACAGCTTAAATCTGTCCCCCTAAATTTTCTGCATTTGTCCTGAGGTATATTTGTGTTCCTCTTTAAATATATTGCCCACGAATAAATAATATTCCTTAAAATACACCCGTCCCTGAATGCCCTTTCTTCTTCCATAATGGCAGCTTGTGCTAACAGGTTTGTGGTGACCGTGGAGCTGTTTTCTCCTAATTGCCCTTATATTCAGTTAAAACCCTGAAACCTTTTCAAATATGTGTTGGTACTAAATGACATCTCTGTCTTGAATTAATATGACCTATGGTTGAGTTCCCTAGTATCTGTCCATATTACGCGCATCTTGGTGTGTTTGGCCTTATTAAATTGCTGTGAACCTAACTTGTCCTCATACTCCTAGATTCAGTTTCCTTGTGAGTTCCTCCAACGTACTTTATTCCTGTTACAACACACAGTGCTCTTTGCTTTGTGCCATATTTTATGTATTTGTATGATGTCACCAGCTTAGGTGGGGTTCCCAAGAAGCAGAGCCTCTCTCTGGGGCATCAAGAAGCAACTCTGTAGCTTTCCAGGCTTGCTGGCTTCTATTGGGTCAACAGCTATTTTCTGGAACAGGTGGGCAGCTTAAGAGTTGTTCTCAGCCAGCACACAGCATCTAGGAAATACGTGCTCAGGCTGGTGGAAAAGGTCTGAGGGGACCCAGCAGCATCCATTGGAGTCACCCATCATTTTGGAATTCTTGAGTATGGAAACTACCTATTGCTTAATTTGGTAGTCTCTATAAGCCTGACCCCATGTCTTGTGCCATAAAGGTGCTAGTTTGTGGACTTGAATCACCAAACGTCTGGAGTAAATATCTTCCGGTGTGTACCCATTCCAGTCCACTGCCATTTGTAATAACAGATACCAGTAAGGAACTTAGCCCGATTCCCTCCTGCAAAGCAGCACAGAACCAAACTGTGTGAGTGATAGAGAGAGGGATAGGGAAGTTTATATTGCACCTTCCAAGAATCTAGTTGCCCTGTCAATACAAAAGCTGTCTAAGGACCAAATGCTTAAATTCAGAAGAGGCAAATAACTTTTCTTTTAGTTTTTTTTTCTTACTATGTTATGTTAATCACCATACATTACATCATTAGTTTTTGATGTAGTGTCCATGATTCCTTGTTTGCATGTAACACCCAGTGCTCCATTCAGTACGTGTCCTCTTTAATACCCATCACCGGGCTAACCCACCCTCCCACCCCCCTCCCCTCTAGAACCCTCAGTTTGTTTCCCAGAGTCCATAGTCTTTCATGGTTCGTCTCCCCCTCCGATTTCCCCCCCTTCATTCTTCCCCTCCTGCTATCTTCTTCTTCTTCTTCTTCTTTTTTTTTTTATTAATGTATAATGTATTATTTCTTTCAGAGGTACAGGTCTGTGATTCAATAGTCTTACACAATTCACAGCGCTCACCATAGCACATACCCTCCCCAGTGTTTATCACCCAGCCACCCCAACCCTCCCACCCCCCACCCCTCCAACAAACCTCAGTTTAGGCAAGTAACTTCTTAAGACCAAGGAAACATATCAAAGAGCAGACTTTCAGTCTGCTCTACTCAGCTCTGGAACTATTTTTGTTTCTTTTAAATTTTATTCACATAATAGGCACATATTGGCTAAACATAAAATGGTATAAAAGGGTAATACAGCTTGACTTTCATTTCCACTCCCCAGAGCTAACTGCTGTTAACATTTTCTTATGTTCCTATCCAGAAATATTTGTATATATGCAAGGCTATGTATTTATGGTTTAGATACAAAAGATTACAGTATATGTACTTCTCTCTACCATTTTTTAAACTAATAATAGATCTTGTAGGTCTTTCTACCTCAAAACATCTGTATCTATCTCATTTTTAAAAATGTATAGATGTCTTACAATTTATTATTTTTCTGATGGACATTTAGGTTGATCCTAGTTTTCAGCTCTTACAGAAGGTATTTTTGCTCTTACAAATCTTTTTCCTTTGCAAAATAAGTATCCTTTTATGTGAGGGTTGTTTTCTTTTCTTTTTGCATATATGTTTTCTTAGCACTATTAACTTGAAAAGCCTGTTCTTCTTACTTCTGAATAAGGACGTAGAGAATATGGCTACCAGATTCCCTGCTTCTGTATCGAACAGTTATGTGCCTTTAAGCCTAAGTTATGCTTTCTCCTTCTCTGCCCATTTGTGTTTCAGCCTCTTCGCCAGAATGCAACTTAAAGTCAGAAAAGATAAAAGTTGTCATCATTGAAAAAAGTTGAAAGTAATTCTCAATTCAGGTCATTGTAATAGCAAGTTCTAAATACCACTTTGCTATAGAATTTAAAATAACAGAAAAACTGTTTTGAGAGGAACAGGAATTGTGACTCTTGTTCAGAATTTAAGAGCGTTGGTATTAAGAGCTCATCTAATGCAAGTTTCGAAAACGCAATCAGACTTTCCAGAAATTCAGCCGCGATGTACTTAAAAGCACTGTTGTTGTCTTTTTCCTTGCAGTGAAGTACATGCGAGAAGCCACACCCTATGTGAAGAAAGGCTCCCCAGTATCAGAGATTGGCTGGGAAACACCTCCGCCAGAATCCCCTCGGTTAGGGGCCGGGTCCTCAGATGCCTTGTCATCACAGCCGTGTTCCTTCCACAGAGATCGGAAGAACATCCCCCTCAAGATGTGCTATGTCACCCGGAGTCTGGCCTCTGCTGACCCTGAGAACAGGTAAAGGCGGCCAGGGACCTCTGGATCTCAGCCACGTGGTGGCCGCTGAGGTTGTGAGGGCCATGCTTATGTTCTCAAAACACTCAGCAGTTTCCAGAGAAAAGCCTGAAAGGGCCCTGCTGAGATAATGTGCATGTTCAAGCCCCGGCCACCTCCCTCCCTCCCTCTCTTCTTCCGTTCTTCTTCCTTTCTTTTATCCTAATGACTAATCCGTGCGCTGAGCTTTGGTTCTGGGAAGAGTTGAAGACTTGGATCGTAAGTGTCTTCCCTGCGTCTACCGTTGCTAGTGTATGGGACTTTGGGCAAGTTTCACAAACCAAGAAACCTCGGTTTTGTCCTCTGTAAAACGGGAATAATAGAAATAGATACCTCACTGAGCTGGAAATCCATGTGAAGTGCTTAGTACAGGAGAACGTTCGTGAATATAAGGTATCATAATATTTGTTATTAATGTTAGGTAGTAGTAAGCATATCAGCCCCCCCTGGACCTCGGTGCCCTCAACTGTGTACTTGGAAGTTTCCACAAGAGGATCCTTACTGCAGTTTTCTGCTCTAAGCCTGTCTTTATGCTTAAGAGAGAAAAAGGAGTGGCTTTGATCCAACCCTGGAGTGCTATTTCTCGAAGTCTGTACATGATTTCTCTTGCCACGGGAGAGAGATATCACCCAGTCTGTGGTGATTATAAAAAGTTTAGCAAGACAAGCAAATATCTGGGGTCCCTGTTCCCCCAGATACCTTACTTTAACTCATCCGAACAGAAAACGTCTATTTGGGAGGAAAATAAGAGATGTGGAGGAGAGGGAGAGGAATTGAGCCAGCAAATGGGGGATCTTGGTGATCTTGGCAGCCACATTCAGATGCTAAAAATAGGGACAGCTCTGCTGGCCCTTATTTGTAATATGTGTGGGACAGGGGCAGCCCACCCGAGTAGGATGTATTTGGCTACGTTCTGAGTTGCTGATGGGGAAAAGCCAAAGGGAACAGGGACAGGGAGCAAGTTGCCTCCTTGGCTCAGAGCTCAAAGCTTTTTTCGTTCTTTTCCTAATAAGCTTGCTCGAAGGAAGCCACTAGCCTGGCTGACTCCAGCAGCTGCAGGATGTAGCCTGCTCCCCTCCCACACCAGTACGTCTGCCCAGGGCTCAGAGCTGTGGTCGCAGGAGAGAGAGAGGACCATCAGCCAGGGAGGAATCGGAGCAGGCCGACTGAGCAGGCATGAGCCACTCCAACCTGTTCTCTGCTTTGTCCCGCTCGATTTCTGCTGATTTCCTGGGCCCGCAGTTGATGTTCTGGTTACTCTGGGCCTGATCTTTCCCGGTCTCTAGGCTACCCAGTCAGACAGGTCCTTTCTTCCAAGAGTCTGATGTCTAAGGTGTTAGATCTGGTGAATTCCTAATTTATCAAGTGCCCATCTCGTGCTGGGCATTATGCTAATTACTTCAGACCAGAGACTGCCGACAGGTGTACCCAGCCCGCAGATATGGTGTGTCTGGTGTTTGAAAGAAATTGGCATTACTTACCACATTGAATCATTGGGAAATTTCACATGAGAAAGCCAGATTTCAGCTTTTCTAGAACAGTGGAAAGATCTGGTGAGATTATTTGGCCCATGTTGCTGCAGGCAGGTTTCCAATTTGCAGGAGCCCAGTAGAGGCTTCTCCTCGTACAAGGGAATGGACTCTCCTCGTCACTCCTATTGCCATACCCTTGGGGGTTCCTATTAGCTACTTGTCTGGTCCTTCACATTTCCTGCCCCGTCCTTGAATCTGTGACCCTGCTTGGTCCTCTTAACAGCCCTCTGAGTTTTGCTTTGTCTCCATTCTGTAGATAAAAAATGGAGGTTCAGCTCTTATATAAGTTCCAAACATCATAGAGCTAATATATGGTTTTGCTGGGTTTCAAATGCAGGCCTATAGTGTGGGTGACAGTGTCAGTTCACCAATACCAGAAAAAGGCAGAGACTAGAAAATGTGGAGTATTGTAGAAGAGATTCATGCCTGGGGAGAGAGTTTAAGTCAGTGATTTCTAGGCTTCTTTCCAGCTGTGGACTATATGTTACAACTCCCTCCTGAGGCACCGCATTCTGTTTTAAAGAATATTTTGGGAGACATCAGGCCTTGGTTCAAACATTGGGGACTCCATCTGTCAAGCCAGAAGAGGGAATGCATTTGTAAACTTTCATATCCGTGGTCTTCAAGTCCACTACTGATGAGGTGGTGTGGAGGAGCCTGTCCTGCCAGGAGGTGAGAACCACGGGGGAGGACTGAAAATGGGACTCCAGCTAAGCCAGAGGGTCTGGAGGGGACTTAAGTTCAGACAGACCCAGAACTGCGGCCAAGGAGATTGACCTCTGACGATGTACACGTATATCAAATCACCATGCTATACACTTTAAAAATCTTAAAATTTTGTGAATTGTACCTCAGTAAAGCTGGGGGAAAAAAAAAAAGGTCATGGTTTTAGGTGAGTCTTGACCCTGGTTGAGGAAGAAAAGAAAAGGAAAAAGGAAACAAATATTTTACAGAACTCTGGTAACATGCTAGGCAGAGTACAATGTACCAGTCAGAGAGGTGGACTCTGCAAAACCCAACTCGGTGCTGGACCCAAGACACACCTAACGCAAAGGGATTTTAAAAGGCAGAAACCAAAGAGATGGGCAAAGCGTACGAGGCAAATGCAGACTAACAACACTGACAAAAGCTACCAGTTTTGAGCTTGCTATACGATAAGGTAAAATGCAGACTGAAAGCACAAAACAGGACAAAGGACCGGTTGCCGCTAAAGGCCAGAGTGCACAAGGAACATTCACCACTTGTGAATGAGCACCCAATAACACAGCAGCGGCCTTTGTAGTGGAAACTCTAGGAGATGCAAGACAAAACAGAAATGTACTAATAGTAGGCATTTCAACATACTCTCCATCCAAGTGGACGAAAGGTCAGTAAAGATATAAAAGACCCAAACAACATAATTAATAAGGGAGATCGGGATACATCACAAACTTTGTACACTGATAATAAAGAATATATTTTCCTTTCAAATCCAGGCAGAACATTGACAAAATTAACTATAGATTAGCTCACCAAAAATGCAATAAATTTCCCGAGGTTGGAATACCATAAACAGCATTCTCTGATGATAGTGGAATCAAAGTAGAAAATTATTTGCCAAACTGAAGCACAATAAGCCCTTCTTCTTGGATTTTTAAAATCTCTGTGAAATATCTCTTAGGTCAAAGGGGCAATAGAAACTGAAATTGTAGTATTTCTTAAAATATGAAAATAATGCGTATGTTAAACATGAAAGAGAAAGAAGGAGAAAGGGAGAGTCGACTCTGCAGTCAGCTAGATCCATGATAGAATCTGGGTTCTGCCACTTATGCGTGAATTTAAGCAAGTATCTCATTCGATCTAAATAACGACCCTGGTCGTAGGTACTCTAAGCTTCTATTGTATAGACAATGAAATTTAGTTCAGAAAGGAGAGTGGAAACAAACAGTAGATCTGGGGTTCCAGCAGGAAGCCCAGTTTCTTAATCATGATACCCGAGTTCCTGTGACTGTAGCACCTGGTGGAATAGCCCACCTAAACCGTAGGGACAATGGCCAGGACTTCATGGGCTCCTGGATGCTAAAACTTGAGTAGCGATGACAAACGCCCCCGCATCTTGGGGCTCATCCCCTCTGTTGGTGACACACAGCTAGCTACTTAAGAGTTTGCATTAAAAACTCTAATGTTCAGTTTCTCAAATAGAAACCTCCATAGAATAGCAGGCAGGATTGCGGCTCTTTCTTTGGAAAAGGTCACCAAGCAGGCACTGAATCCTCAAGAATATGTCACTTCATAAATAGCTAAATACCTCATTGTTCATATTCAACTCTTCGCTGCTCTGGTCCAGGGCTATATCCCCCGTTCTCCAGACTTTTTGGACATATTCCCTACCAGGTGCTTCATTTCTGGCTTGCCCCTTCCCCATCCTCCACCATCTGCCCTACACCCAGCTAGCCAAGGGAGTGTTTCACACTCAGGATTTATCCATTTGCTCAAGATGGCACCCTGTCCCCTTCACTAATCTCAAAACTCCCCAGTATTACATAAAAACCTTATAAGGTTCTGGGTCTTCCCTAAGTGTCCAGTTCCTCCCATCTCATCATTTATGCCCCAGCCACCCTTAAATAATTCACTCACCTGACAATTTCCTTGGTCGCCTATTAAAAATCAGCATAAGTGAGGCACTGGTCCCACTATACCTAGTGTGTAGATCTGGCCATCATGGCACCCTTTATAAGGACTTGAGATTTTTTTCTTATGTGCCTACCTAGATCTTAAAGTCATTAAGACCCTTGAGGTCTGGAACACCCATGTTATCATTTTAAAATGATACAAAGCAGGCATTCAAAAATATATGATATGTTAATGATACATGGCATATTCGTCTGTCCATTTTTGGTATTCTTACCTTCTCAAAGTTTAAAAGAAAAAAAGTAAACTTCCACTAAATAACCTTGGGAGTAAAAGAACAAATAAAAACACAGTTCTATCCTGCCAGGCTCAGCAAACTTAAATAACCCAGAACAACCCATTAGTGAATTTTGTTCAAAGTAACAAAACCAATATGGACTTTCAAGGCAGCCTAAGCAGTGTACTCTCTCCATGTGAGAAATTAAATTGTCACCAAAGGTATCAATACAAGAGATGCTAACAGACCTGAAGAAGTGTATTTTAGACAGGGAAACTGGAAGCCACTCCTTCTGGGATCAGGAGAGCCTTGCTAAGGTGGCCATAATGGTAATTACTACTTTGCTGAGACCCCCATCTCCTTTGGGCTGTACCTAAATGGGCAGGGCTCCCCCAAATAGATGCCCCCCCTTCTGTTCACCCAGTCTTATTCCTGATGGGGATCAGAACATCGGACTTCAAATTAAATCACTTTCTAGTCTTGGCTCCTCAACATTGCTCCCATACGACTTCGTTCCGGGTTTTAGATGATCCCAGGTACTTCAG